GTTCTTAATTCTGTAATGAGTTCGTGGCTTTTGGACACCACTCGGCAGATTCCAGTTTGGATTAATAAGGCCGGGGTCTTAGGTTGCACACTGTGGTCTGGGCATCACCGTCAAAACAACTACGGTGTAGTTAATTGAGTGTCTAGTCGGTTGACTCTATCTACCTATCTATGACAATGTATACACCTTAGGAAAACATATATATGGGTGAAATAACATTTATATGGGGAGATAACCGATATGTTTACTTATATGCTTCAACTCAGTATGCGATGTCTGGCGGTATTGCCCAATTATTTACACAATTTCATAACTTGATGATTTCCCTATTTAAACAAGCATGATAAATTGTCGTAATTAACCGAATTTCTATAAAAAGAAAAATAACTTAAAGATTATATTGATAAGTAATAGAATTTAAACCAACAGGAGGTTTCTAGAAGCACATCTGGTTATTTGGTGGGAGACAATATTTCTATGGTGGATCTAACTTTACTGGAGTGCTTGCTGAATTGCGATGATTACATTCCTGGTGCTCTAGACGATTTCCCGAAATTAAAGGTGAGTGTCATTAAATAATGCCAATTAATAATAAAAAAAATCGAAGCTAATCCATAAAATGGATTAAAAAAACTTTTTGAGCAAAGAGGAATTACAAATAAAAATCTACTGCGATAATAAGGACCCCTACAAAATTACACGAGTGTACGAGTGCTTCAATTTATTGGTTAAGAATCCCATCTTTTCCCCTGTGGCATAAGTTTTTATATCGTGTATAACGTGATATTTAAATAGAAAGATCATGTAAATCCAAGAAAAATTACACAAAATACTAATTGTACTGTTTACACAAAAATTCTAATATTGGAGGAAATGTTTAAATAATTGTCATGTGATATCTAAAGCTTTGCATGGTTAATTAGACTTTCACAATATCTTGTAAAATTAATTATTTTATAGAATGTCATTTCGTTTAATATTTTCTGTTTATTCAATCTTTATAAATTTGTCACATATGGATAAATGCTTTTGGTGACCTCTGAACTCTAATTATTTTGACAAGGTACATGTGTATATCAAAATGCAAATTCCTAAAGTAATCAATGACATTCTCACAACTTTTAATGTCATCTTTAGTATAAGCAATATATCCCTCCGTTTACGCAAATTAGTCCACTCTATTGGCGTGTGTAGTACGACGAACCAGGCAAACAGAAAATTCAAAATGTTAAACATTTACGGTTGCCACGACAATCATAACAATATTTCTAATACAGATAACGACATTTTCAAATTAAGGGCACAATTTGAACACGTAAACAAACGCACATGTAAAAGACTCGTGTCAATAACAACATTGAAAAAAGGATAAATATTCCCTGTTATGGTACTATTGACCCAGGACTGTTGTGTCAGATTGAGACCCCATATGTTCAACCACTACAGGTAAACTCCTGAATTCGAAATAACAAAAAAATCGGGCTGCGATTCGGAAAATAATTTTCACATCAAAGGGACACATCATATACCACTCTGTTGCAGGTAATAAATGTCGTCTTTTAAATGGGTACTATTTGTGTTTTCAGGCCTTCCAAAACAAGGTTTCATCATTACCAGGGATCAAAGCCTTCCTAGATGGACCGCAAAGAAAAGGAAAAATCACAGAAGAATATATTCAACACTGCAAAACACTGGGAATGGGCTAATTAGATTAAAACACAATGGTCAAATGGCAGTCACATTATTACTCGAATACCCAATACACCTTCCTAATATGTAACGCCTTGTAGGGACAAAGTGCTTCTATGCCGCAAATATTGTTTTACTTTTTAGTATGTTGTATTAATTTTCAATATGGGAATTGCATTTGACAAACACGTTGTGAGTAAACATAAATATTGAACAAGTATTGATAGATTGGGTGATTGATCGATTGATTTGTTGAATAAACTGTCGACGTAAAAACGAGAAACGAACATATTGTGTGTGACTATTATTCATTGAATCTATGAACATAAACTGAAATCATGTGTGAATGCAACGTTATAATCCACAATCGTCATACCGGATTTATTTCAATATTTTCCAGATTATTTATGTCAGCGATGTATTTGTCGAAGGTGTACAACCATTTAATGCTAAATCATAAAACTAATATCAGTAACATGTATATACATGTATGACATGCATTCCAATATCCCCTAGAGTGTTTTTAGAATAATATCTCATCTATTTTACTTATGTAAAAATCTGTTTGTTGTTATTTACATATAATGGCACACACATCGATTTATTAGACTTGTTATTTTGGAATTGGTTAGGGATCGAATTCATTTCTGTTCATAGTGACATTTTGTGTGAAAACAAATTTCATTCCAATTTTGGCTTCGATTCTGACAAAACATTCTGTATCTAACTTTAACATTATATTACAATGAATGAAAAAAGTTTGATAATTACATGTATTTATGAAACATACAAGGAAGATTTATTTACTGATATTTGAATGAAATACCCTAGTCATAGATTACACAACATTTACATAGGGGGAACAAGTTTATAATAACGTTATGACAACAAAAACAACAACCAAATTACATAGACAATACATTGCAAAATATAGACAAATTAGTGAAAGAATGATACATGAACTTCAAGGAATGTAACAAAGAGGCATGGAAGGTAGTAGGAGGGGAAAGAGGATAGGGTTTAGTCGGATTGATTTCTCTTGTTTCAAGCCCTTTGTTTCATGTCTTGTCGCCATTGTTTGTTTTTTCCTTTCAACCCATCACCGCTTCCGCTTTTTTACTCAACAAAACGGCTTTGACTCACGATTTTGGAGGCTAAAAACATTCGACTGCAACTTGTTATGCGCAGTATACATGGGCAGAACGATACACATGATGTCATAGGTCATAGGCAAGGCCTTGCATGTGTTTTCAATCATCATTCTGTGAGACTTGTATGAACTGCTCTACGATCTCCTGCTATAAGTGGTGCTCTCCAGAATACCAGCTTTCCTCTGCAAGCCAGACTCAGGTATCCAACGTCCAAGTCATTGTTGGCGTATTTCTGAGCGTTCACGGTACAGCTAGTTCCAATTCACAGATTCAATCATGACAACTAACACAAAAAAGGCACACCTCACGTATGTTAATGGACGTGGATTGTCAGAATCTATT